TAGAAACCATTGTGTCAAGTCTGCCATCTAGGTTACATAGCAAGTGGGAAGAAGTTTCCTATAATATTGTGATGACTAATAAGAAACACAAATTTGACGATTTAGTGTCCTTCGTAAAGTTTCTGGAACACGATGGACTGGTGCAACATGGTATAAAGATTAGTAATGATGAATATAATGAGTAATCAGGTCGTATCAGCGACTCGCTTGAAGTCAAGAGTTGAGAGTCTTAGAAAGGCATTCAGAAAGTAAAGGATAGCACAGAGTTATCAAAATTAAGTATTATGGAAAACAGACTACAGCCAAAAAGACATGGTTTTTGTTACTGATGTTTGAGAAAGGGTCATGTGATTCATACTTTGAATGTAACGCTGAGAACCTCACAGTTCCTTATCATCCGAATGGTACATTTTAATCATGATCGTAATGATGCAGTGAATTCATCTTGGTAACAGAAATCGTTCAAGGTTCGTTTGGGTGTCATTCTGGTCAACCTACACGGTTCCAAAGGAATTTTGAGAAGAGGTTATGAAAATTCTCTTGTATGTGAAGAGTTAATTTGTTGGCTCTGTCTCGGAGGTAAAGAAACATCGTAATGGTGAACGACACTGCTGCTCATAACTGTTTGGATATAAGGTTAGGAATATTTTCTTTGCATGTCAGTTGAACTGTACAATTCACTAGAGCTAATGCAGAATAAAGTCTACCGATCAGTGGTACAGAGAGACAGGCAGAACCACAGTTAGGGCAATGGTAACACTTAAGTGATATACTGCTTTCGAGATTTCGAAAAAATTAAGTAGGAGCATTGATTAGGTGTGATGCTGTCCGTTTGCTGTATGGTCTTATCTCGAATGACTATAGGTCCGAAGGTAACAAATGTTGTAAAAAATGATCCACTATATTATGCAGATCTGTTTGATCGTTCTACAAGTCATGATGTTTTACAATGTCCAGAAATGTTGTATAATCATGAGTACAAGAAATTCGAAGAGCTTAGTAAGGAACATTCGTTCGAAGACAAGAGAGGGTTAGAGGTAGTAAACTGTTCCTTTGGTTTGGTGGATGGACATTATTCAAAATGGTTTTCCTTAGAGGTATGAAAGTCAAAGCTCCGGAATAACTTAAAACCGGCTGACCGATCACTGTAGAGTTTACAAAGAAGGTTTATAAAAAACGAGAGGTGATGAATAAACGTTTAAGTAAAGGCTGTATCTTTGAAGTTAGTAATACCGAAATTGGCTCTGAATCGTTTTTTGGAACCTTCTACTCATTCAAATCATCAATTCAAAAAACACCAGGTAAGCTGAGAATTGTTTTTATCCTTCACGGTTCTTCTCAGCGACCAGCAATTAGAGCTCCCGAATATTATAAAAAGTTGGCTCGGGGTTCTGCTATTCTGATTGGATGAAGTAGCATCAGCCGCTGATTGTGAATAAATATTTCTTTAAGTAAAGATCCTAAAGAAAGAAGAGCCCTCTGTCTTAGGTCGTGAGAGGAAGGTGACATAAAACTTCCGGCCATGAAAAATCGTCACACGGTTTGTCCATTTGGAGCAGTATCTTATCAATTTTTAGTTAACTTTTCTCTTAGGTTGCAAGTTTGTCTGCTAAGAAGTTGGTGAAAAATGCACAGGACGTTGAAGATAGTTTTTACATCGATTAATATTTGGCCTCCCTTGACTGTATGCATGACACAACAAAGTTTACGGAAAACCTTAGATCCGTTCTGAGTAAATGTGGCCTCAGACTTACCAGGTGGATTAGAAATTGCTTAAGAGTCATTCAATCAATCTCTCCATAAGAGCGAGAAGACACTGCAAGTAAAACTGAATTCAAGACGTCTCCACGAGAAGATGAAGTAGTTACAGTTTCTTTATCCGCATAAGAATCTCGTGCAGGCTATATTGATAAACCAAGTTCACTCTAGTTAGAGATTGATACAAAGTTTGAACCGTACGGAAAAGGGGTTTAAGAAATTTGGTTGACGATGCACAATTTGACTTTAGCGCGAACGTTTCGCGTAATTATTCCAATTGAAAACTGTTTGATGTTTATTCTGTATTTGCGTTAGGAAAGTTTACGTTTGTATAGTATATGTGTAACACTGCTGTCAGACTATGGTTTAACTTGGAGACATTAGTTTTCCTAGTGATTTAAGTATTCGTTTGTTTGAAATTTCACAATAGTGTGTGAAGTCATGTGGTGTGATCACTTTTTCACGTAAGATTTAAGTGAGTTGAAATATTGTTAAAGAATATCAATTTATAATATCACTCTTGCGGTCCGCTCCAACTTGAATAGTGTAGGTTCATACGCGTCCCGCCCAGCCCAAGACCAAAACGATAATTCTGGGAGAGAACGGTTCTGTATTTAATGAAAAAAGGAAATTCAGACAATAGCCGAAACAATATTACACCTTCGAGTTTCCAATTACCACAATAGGTTCCGTTGCTGGAAGAATAAGTGCTTCCAGTCTGTTACTACTAGAGTATCAAATCCAAATATGGCTGTAGCCATATTAAATATCAATTTTAAACAACATATGTATAGTTCAGAAGGAAACATAAAAACTTCAATATAAGTACAAGATATAGAAATAATAACAAAATACAAATGATAAAATCTCAAAATGGAATCAAGAGGGATTTTCCAAAATCAGAACCTTCAAAATAGATTCTACAAAGAAGACTGTTTGCTACTTAATAAGGGACTGGGAATAATTACATGAAGATGGTAAAGACTAGAACTAATGCCCTTTCAGAACCAAGCATCATGACTTTAAATGGTATAGCTAAATAATATGGGAAATATGAGCATATATCTCTTTTTCCAATTATTCATGCGGTCAGAGAAGTCACGGCAGTTATTCAATATTCCGCCTCTGAACTTTTATACGGCATGACATTGCATCTGCCACGGGAATTTTTCACGCCACACAGAGCAGCAATCTTATGTATGTCAGATAACGTACAACGAATATCTGCGTACATGCGATCACTGCCGTCGGGGTTAACTCGAATATAGCATCGATAGGTCACTCTACCTAAAGAGTTATCTACCTGTCCATATGTATTTATACGAGTAGATTCGTTAGGCGAACCATTGTAACACCATAACGAATGGTTTTTTCACTTGATCTATCGTCAAAAAACGACTTTCAAGGCTAATCGACACAGTCATCATTGATCGTCTCAAACCGGCACACGTCAATGACATTGCCCTACCTGACAAATCTCTATTCAATGCTGGATCTGTCCAACTCACTAGCGGGATCCCAATTTCTCCTTCGGACCCCATGCTAGATAAATCAGAGACGTCATTCTCACGTCCCAGTCATCAGCACGCGTCATCCGCACTATCCACGGATGAGACATCAGTCTCATGTCCAAATTAGCAGAACACGCCGATTGTTTAACTCCTATCAAAGTAGACTAAAGATTCCTTGGTAGTTCGCAGATGAACAACAAGTACAAAATCTATTTACTCTTCTGGATAAATAATAGTTTGTGAAGCCCCACAGTTCTCTGTTCCGAGTCCTTTAATTTCAGCGCTTCATTTAACTAATCTGTGATCGTTCTCGATGAAACTTTATTTTGACGAAGTTTATGTTATTATTTGAGAACAGATTCTTATTATCTTTATTCAGACAGATACATTCAGTGGCATTACAATATATTTTACCTGTGAACTTAGCTTGTTAATGTTGCATAAAGAGTTTCATGTTAAGGTTTGTTCATTCGTTCTGAGTTCGGTAGTCGGTTTTATTAGAAAGCTAGTCGAAAAGCCAATGTCAAACGAACATCTGTGTTATATGATTTTTACACTAACTGTTCAACTCGTAGGACCTATGACAAGGAGGAATGGTGTCAACACTTTCAGCCTAATAATTCAAAATAAAACTAGACACTCAGAAAAGCTTATTATAGGAATTATTTTGGATGTGATTAGATTTTTAATTATTCTAAAACCTGTAATTAATAGTAACTCATCTTTACCATATGAACTTCTACCCTTGATTGTAAAAACTCTTCAGTTTATGCGAAAGAAGATTGGTTGTGATAGAAACAATCCTACGTCTTTTCACAATGCACTCTCAATTTTCAAAATGGAAGCAAACTCCACTGGCCAAGTACAGAAGCGAGCATCTAATTTGGCGATGGACAGATGTTATACATCTCAAATATAAAGCATTATTCTCACTAAGTTGTGGGCGAATCAAAAATTCACTTCCACGCTTCTCGAGGTAACCAGTGAAAAATTTATCAACTTTTCAGCTCTTTCCCATATTCAAACAATCGTTTATCCTAGGCATTAGCATTTTCACCCCGTCATTCTTCACATTGTAAACAACTTACCTCTGGGAAAGTAAGTAATCGCTGCTGGTACCTCAAACTTCTACTTCCGTGAAACGAACTCACTCATGCAAATTACAAGACCTACAAGTACATAAATATCTTCCAGAAAGACTGAAATTAATGAGTTGCTAATAAATTAGCTAATAAATGGAACAGTACACAAACAAGCGTGCGCTAAGACACTAGTCGGTTCTAGTGGTTTGAAACATTCATGCTATTCGCTCTTAACTTCGCTTTCCAGACTCACTGGGTCTGAAACATGAGTGACTATTGATTCTTATATATTACTATCACAACTGAGTTTCAATGTATTTTGTGCACATGCTAGGTGATTGACTCAAGGCTATTTTTGTTCTTCACCTTTTCAGTCCCCTCCCCATGTGCCACTTTTCATGTTTTACTAGTAAACAAGGTACCTTCTGGCTAGCCATATTCCGCTACATCGGGTCATAACAGTTCATGTATTGAATATATTCAAGTCACTTGTATATTATTGCAAGGTTCTAATCTCAAGGTCGTTGTCTTGCAAACCTGGTGGATGTAAGTGGTTTTCTGGTTTCTAGTTTTATATGATTCACTTCTTTCTGGGAATCAGTACATTTCCCAACCCTAAACCATTTCTTTGTATCTTAATTTTTTTAGTATGTCATTACTTTTAGATCAACGTAAAATTTAAACGTCAGTTACCTTTCTAGTCTTCTGGCTACATTGTCATTTCTATGAAGTTTTCAGTTTACGTCTATTATCTTCTAACCATATAAATGCGCATTTAATGTCGTCAGTCAGAGAATTAAAGTAAGTATATCGCCGGGTTCATTTTATCAACTGATATATAAGTTAAAGTTAAATTACGTTTATCCTTAAGTTTCTTATGCAAAACAAATTAAATCGTATCTGTGTCAACTAGCCAATTTTTTTTCAAGAGTTTTCAATGATCAAAGTTTGCCAATAATCTAACCATCAGACTATGTGCTATGGTACAAAAGTAGCAAAATATCTCTGTTTTGATGTATGCTTAAGTTAACTCACTATACTCTCATCATGTCCTACATTTTAAATATATTCACCGGGCCATAATCCAGCCTTGATTCGAATAAAATAATCCACTTGACGGTTCTTGCTATCTGCAAGTGAAGTGACCATTTTGCTACCGAAGATTTTGCTCAAATCTACAAGATTATACAAAATCTCACGGCCATTTATTTCCTATCGTTATTACGGGAGAATGTCTACCAAAAAATCCAATGACAGGTTTATTTCATCTGGTAGCACTAGAATTGATTTCAAGCAGCCTGTCAACACAGTTCTTTGCCGTACTGAAATGAAATGATGCGAAATTTCCTGGTCGAAATACTTGACTTGTTTTTAATGTCAAACAGGGATAATAATGTCGACCGCCATCTTCGTTGGGACTTCATCATCCGTAGGACATACTGAATATTTTCGAATTTAAAGTGCATAAACCAAGAACTCTATCACCAGACGCTACTACCGAGAGAAAACATGATTTAACAGCTAGGCAGTATCCCACTCTACTCACAAGTTCGATTTTTTGGCATAGAAATGTTTAGGTGCCCTTTTGTACCAATTTTTATAACAAATAAATAAAACTGTAGATAATTGTAATAGTCCAGTTTATTTACAGTGCTGTCTCTTCATACTAGATGTCTGAATAAAATAGAGGGGCTCAGAAGAAAGTTATCTAGAATCGGAAAGCCAATCAGAACTATCCCTTGATGATTATAAAATTTCGGAGATATTTAATGTAATTATTAGGTGTATAGAGTTTACAGTTAACACGATTTGCAATTAGATGAAGAATCTTATTTGTAGATGTAAAATGGGATTACAGGTTCTTCAAACGACGAATTTTAACCGATAAACGTCAGCTTTAAATCCCACTCAACTTCCTTTTGGGCAGCCACGTAGTATCATCAACTGTCAGACGTAGTTCAGCTCAAAGTTAAGTACAAATTAGTCTATAACAGTTGAGACAGAATAATATGAATTTATAATCCCACCTTTATTGTATCACTTGCCTTTTTTAAATTCATAAGAGGAATCATCGGTACCAAGTTGAGTAAACAGTTATGGACTTAGGTCTCATCAAGTTGGTATATATTTGTCTTTTTTCAATACGGTATTTTGCCGTTAGATAACTCTTAAACATCATCAATTAATGACAGGATTTCAACAGTATCATGGTATATTTAGAATGCCTGAATTTATTCATCTCATAAAACGTAAGCATTCAATATTTTCCTCGTTATTTATGAGTCCAACATTGATTTTCATCTTGGCCTGAAAAATTTCATTTTAAAGTTGAATCAAGTATACTATGTATAAAAATGATCTTAATTTTTTTTAAATAGAGAATCACCAGTAGCCTCAGCTCAAGCATATGTCTTACAGTTTAACCCTGAAGACCGAGTATGGTTACCTAGCGGTGGGACGCGCACACTTTCATGGGTTCAAATTTTACAACAAAAAGGTTTGGATGCTTATCGTATAGTAGGCTGGCGTCAACCAGATAACCAGGTAATATATTTTGCAACATTAAGATGCGTTTTGAATATTGAAAGGAGTAGATTAAAGTGGGATGATTATTTCCTGTCATGTATGCTTGTTTTTTGTTGTGGTTTAATCCTATATATTCGTTCAGCGATAGTTTTTGAAAATATTCTGGCTATACAAACCTCAGCTTGTTTTACTTAATGTACCTAATTTATCACACATAGTTTAATTTTTTTTTCTATAATCTTATAAAACCAGCAAACGAAAGTTCTAAATCAAAAATAACTAGTTACAACATGAGTTTTCATAGATTAATTCCTGTTTTGCAACAAATGTATAAAGTCCAGAATCACCAGCATATCTATCCTGGGATGGATTTTAGACCCAGTATTATCCGAACAATAGTTTTGCAACGCATTTATCGAATACTGGTGTACTTGCTTAACTTTAAGTCCATTTCTTAAATAGATATGATTGAAATGAAGGTTCAACCTTTTCCCTAGTGTTTAGTTTAAAAGCAATATGCTTAACCTATGAATCCGTCACTTCAGAGCCAGGAGCATGCAATCACGCTCTAGGATATCTAAAATGTATGCTGTTCATTGTGATGCAATCATTCTGAGTGGCATAGCTTCACTTGTCTTCAGCAGTTTATATATTGGAATTTATTTGTGATTCTTAATTACCATTCTTATCAATATTACAAAAACTACTTACCAGACTTTAAAATATCTAACATATATTCAGTTTTAATTAAAATAAAACCAACTCTACTTGAATGGTGGTTCTGTGATACAGTCTAGTCTACAAGTGATTGACCCTAATCTACATCCTAACCTTATCAAATCAATGCACTAACATCATGAACCTTTAAACTGTTAATTCATTCTAGACTAAGTTGAATGATATTTATACTAAAGAATAAAGTTCAAATGGTCAGTTGACTGTTTAAGGTTATCATCGCTATATATACTCTAAATCTTGTTGATATATGGTTCAGTAAAACGAGCATAAAGTTATAGGTATATATATATATATATATATATATATATATATATATATATATATATATTGTTCGAACACTTTCCAGGCATTTCAGTCTCATATATGTTAATAACCGATCACATTATGGTTTGTAAAATCAATACTTTAAACTGTTCTTCCAGGAACAGTTTGTGTTAAGCCATCAAAATAATTTTTAAATACTGCTAAAAGTATGTTGTAGATTGAAATTTTCCTATTTCACATCGTATCAGATTTGATGAAATTTTGCAACACAAGGAGAAATTAGTGATGAGCTTGTTGTTGTCTTAGGCCCGCTATTTTCTACACATTCCCTTCGGATATTACATTTGCTCATTATATTCTTGTCACTCTGAGTCCGAAGCAATAAATAGCAGCGTTAGGTCATTATAATAAACTGTCTTTAACATAAAAGGAAGATAACAACTTCGTCTGAAATTTCCTGGATTTCAGACTGGTTTTTCTATATATTTATCATTCAGTAAGATAAATGAAACGATAGTTTTAAAAACTATAATCACACAAATTCACACTAATCAGTCAATGTGATGATTAAATTCTGTCTATCTAGTTTGCATTTCAACAACTATGGAGATTGAGTGACTCGGTGTCATTACTTAATAGTCGTCCCCCTCCTCCAAATGACATCGCACAACGTTGTAACCTCAAAATATTTTCGAGTGTTTCTTCTCTGGAGATATTCTAGTATTTATTTTGCATTCTTGATTATCTGTATAAACTATACAACGATAGCAAACAATTCAAGTTTATAAACTAAGATGTTACTTATTTCGTCGTATACACATTGAAATCATCAGTCAACAATCAATGTTAGACCACCAGTAGAAACCTTGAAGCACTGGACGGCCCTTTTCGTCCTGGTATAGAACTCATCAGTGGCATTTCGCATCCACGACTCCTGCTACTCGCAGGATTCTTACCCAGGACCTTCGATCTTGCGCGCAAACACCTAACCTCTGGAACATAGTTAATATTAGTTTCATTTGTGTCAACTATTATTAATAATTCAGTAAATGCTTAAACAAAATTCATTAATATGATGAATAATAATTTGTCAATATACTAACCGCATATGGTTCCATTTTAATATCAATAAATATATCAACTTAAGTAATTATGTACAGATATATTTATGTGTGAGAGGTAGAATGCATTAACTGTTTTTTAATCAAACTATTCATGGTAGTGTTTGAAACTAACACTTGACCTTGATGTACTCTTTTAATTTTAAATAAAGTTGTGTGTATATATTTTTCAACTACCTGCTCCTCTTTTAAAATTACGTTCAATTCTAGTAGAAGAGATTTGCATAACAATAGTAATAATGGTTGTTGCAAAACAATGATTTTGTCCTTAACTATCCGATCTCAAGTTTGTTTATCTGTTAAGGATATAAAACTTTGAATACAATTTATGAGGGAAAAAATCAATATCAATTGAGTGTGAATGTGTCGTAAAGTCAACTTCTAATGCGTTTTTGTACCATTGCTTTCCAAAGAAAAAAACTTTTTTTGCATTTTCACTGTGATTTGTGTTCACTGCTAATTAATCAGTTCATAAATAATTACAGCAGCCAAAAAGTCAGCAACAACAAGTTCTTAAACCACTTTAGCATAAAGATGCAACTGTCGATTCAAATCCCATAATGGTAGAGGTAGTAGAAGTATAAGCAGTAATCAGAAACATTAGGGTTTGCAGATGTTATTCAAGGAGTATAATCCAGTGAAATAGATTTGGGAAGAGCAAGGCCAACCAATCGTAGCTGCTTCCTTGACGTGGTGGTCGGGCTTGCCAATGAGGTCGTGATGACCCAACCGAGCTATAATGGCTGAAACATATGTTCTTGTAGGTTCTTCCATGCCAGGCAGGTTGATTGGAGAACGGTAAGACTAAAAGCAGTGACTCAGGTTCTGAGGGCGAAGTCGTACTGCTGACTGTAGAGAGGTGTGAAAACAGTAAGGTGTTTCCCTAGGACATCCAGAATCTGCAGCGATGCTACCTTCTCATAAGAAATGAAGGGGCTAGAAAAGGTCAACCCTAAAAATGTCACACCTCACCTTACCTCGCGGATTTCCGTCTTTGGTGGTAAGGCCATTTGAAAATCGGAGCTAACGCATGTACTTCCCATTCGTTATAACAACTGACGGACAGACAAATACAACGCAGAACTTCGTACGTAAGTACATCAGTTCAGGTTGCCATGCCCCATCAGCACAGAGACGCAACTGTCAGTTCAAATCCAAGAGTGATAGCAATAATATAAGTATTAGCAGTAATGGAGAAGATTAGGGAGCGAAGATATGATTCGAGAAGTATAATTCAGTAAGATAAATTTAGAAGGAGTAAGGGAGAGATTATGAAGAATGCAGAAGCTTAGAATCTCATAGAACACAAAGAGTGGATGCATCTGCGCCATTGCAAACGATTCTGAGCCATGTCATTCAAGGTCTGTAACCATCGGTGACTATCGTCTCACGGACCCCAACCAGATAGCCTACATCTACCAACATGACTCAGTCCACTTGTCAGTGACTTCATGGATTTGTGCCATGAAGTTTCACTACTTCACCTACTGATTTGCCATCCCTACCTAGAACTCGTTTCCTAACGACAGCATCGCTTATACGGTTGTCCCATGATACACAAGCAATGCTTCGGAGACATTGATGATCGGAGACTAGTAACCTACGGAAGTCCTCTACTCTTAACGGCCAAGTCTCGCATCCGTACAGTAGGACGGAACAAACTGCTGCACGGTACACTCCTTCTTTAGTCAGCAAACGGATATCTCGCCTGCGCCATAGTTGACGCTGGTTGGCAAATGCTAATCGAGCCTTCTGTATCCGAGCTGAGATTTCGTCAGTCACCAGGCCATCAGCACTGATGAGACTCCCAAGATAAGTGAAGCGGTCTATACGTTCGACTACTTCACTCCCTATCACTAGTTCAGGTTCCGATGAAACCCAATCTTGAAGCAACATTTTGCATTTCGAGGGGGGAGAACCGCATCCCGAACATGCTTGCATTGTTGCTTAGGGTGGTCAGAAGACTCTGCATTTTGTCAGCGTCTTGACCAAGTAGGACTATGTCATCGGCATATTCTAAGTCGATAAGCCGTTATAACAATTAAAACCTGTAATATAACTGATTAATTTAAATGTATTTTTTTTTGTTTCGTCTTGTATGATGATGAACAAGGTGTTTGTTGAAACAATTCTGAACTTCTTGCTTTAGTTGGCCGAATAGTAAAGAAGAGGATAGTAGTAATCTCATTCACTGAATTGAATCGACAGTTACGAATTCGAATTCAATGCACGAGCATATCATCAACCGAGTAGTTAGTATACATAGCTGTTATCCAAATAGTATGACTCAAAGCTAGTTACATAAACCTGAACTTTACTACATCAGTTGCTTAGTATTTTATCATAAGTTCGTAAGTGGATCATTAAGAGATGGTGCTTCTACTATACCATTGTACACTTAGTGATCTTGTGTATTTTGGTAATAGGTTGTTGGCGTTTTATGTTATTCTCAATAGTTGTATCACTAGAAAGAAACAGTAATTGTCTATTGTACACTAAATGTTTGAATGCTTCATCATTCAATAGATTTATTATCCCATTAATAAAAACTATTTTGTTTTAGTTGAGCTGCATTCATAAGTATCATAGTAACAGTGTAATAAAATGTTAAATTTCACAAATTTTATTACTCTCTTTTATGACCATTTTTTTTGTATTGATTGATTCTTTTAATATTTCCATTTGTACATTGTGTTGTAATTCATTTCCAATTTATTGAAATGTTCACTGAAACAATGGAATCATTAATCCTAAGAAATATGGAAAAAAAGTCATTTCAATCTACTACTTTTTCATGTTTTAAACAATATCATGATATAATTATTATCATCAAGCGCCATAACATAATACTGTTTTCACTTTTAAGTAGTATAATTAAGGACAGTAGTCAGTTAG